GGGGAATTCTGGCAGTTGAAGTCCACCCATCTTCAAGCTGCCAAGGTCGAGAAACACTGCCATAAATCATCCAGTAGGTAGTAGTGACAGACAGAAAGCACACAAAAAGGGCAGGGATTTAACCAATGTAAGCTTATGACATGCTCATTCCACACTTCAAATTTTGGGGAGATAATATGTTCTTGTGTCTCAAAGCTTCATAGAACTAACAAAGGATTTTAAAGTTGACTTGAGCACAGAGTGTGACCACCAGACTTTAGTCTTGTCATTTATAATCCCCAACAATTGCAGCACCAAGTCAACTGTTTTTCCCCTAAACCCAAGTCAAACATTTGTCTCACTCCAGTCAGGAGTGTCCAAGGGCAGCAAGCTACAGTGAAATTCATTTATTCAGATCCTTTTATGAGGTTATAATTTTCTGTCAGCTAAAATTTTCAACAGTTTTCTAGAAAAGCATCAGTACATTACAAAATCCCTTGATAAGGATGAAAGATGGCAAAGCGAAATCCTCCAGAACTTCATTTGACAACAACTGTATAAACACAAGTTTTTCTGACATACTTTGAACTCTGTTGGCTATTAATAATTAAATCTGTAGAGAAACTTTATACACAGTTGCCAAATGTTTTTTAAAAATATAACAACTGAGAAGGAGAAAGGTGAGGAGAATAAAATGGCACAAATATAGGGTTGCTGTTGTGAGGACAAACAGGAAATTCCAGCTCAATCAGGAAGCTTGTTTTGCTACCTGCAAACATTTCTACCTTCGAACTGTCAGAGCAGAGAACAGAACAGCAAATAAACATAGCAGCATTCTGCATACTAGAAACACCCTCCTTTTAGCTGAGGCTAGAGAAGCCTCCTTATTCTCTGGAGAGACACAGAGCGTTGCCATATCTCACTGATAAAGCATCATTTTTTTCTCAGTCAAGAGCTCACCTCTGCTGTGTCATTCATCTGGGGGCCATCACCAAAATGACAGTCTCCTTTGTTTTGTCCATCTCCCCTCTCCCCTTCCACCTCAGTGATCTGCAAAGACTCGGATACAGATTTGGAAGACAAAACGACATCCTGAAAACAGACATTAGGTAAGAAGCAGCAAACACCTTCATAAAACATTTGAACAGTCAGCTATAGATGACCATGTAAGATTTGGCAGGGCCAACTGCTTAGAGAACTATTTAATTGTTTGCAAACAAGCAAGCAAAACAAACAATAACCCCTCAGCTTCTTCATAATTCAAGGGACACACAAAAGGACAAAAGCAGAGACATTCGCATACAACTACAGCATAAGCACCCCCAAACAGACTCTCTTAGTAAAGTGACAGTGTGTAATTTGTTATGGCAAGGGCTTAATTTCTGCATATACTCCTTTCCCCATCAAGGCTAGTCTCTATGAGCTAAATCAGAAGTAAATGCCGGTATTTGTTTGAGCATCCTTTAATTTACTGTCCTTGGAGGACTAAATGGCCTTGCGCAAACTGCTGCAAGGCTTCGATGAGAGCCACTTGCTCTCCCATGGCACTCCCAGCTGGGACGGCCCTGATCCAGAGCCTAGCCCTTCCCATTCCTGTTACCTGAGCAGAGCCTGTTGCTTTGGACAGCTGCTCCTGCAGCTGAGGGATATGCTTCTCGGCCTCCCGGATCTCTCTGAGCAGTCGGGAAGTAGGAGCGCGGCTGTAATCTTCCTGCAGGGACTGGAAGGTTTTAATGATAAGAGGAATCATCATCCTGATGGTCCCCTGGCCATTTTTTTAGGCATCTGGTAGCCAGGGCTGGACCAGTACTGGCCAAGCAAAGCATCTGGAAAGCCCTACTGATGTTCATATAATGCCTGGGCCAGCCACCCTATTAGAACACTCTCTGTCCCAACGAGCGCTGCCAGGCTACATCACCCACACCTTGCAGTTCATTAACCACCAACTTTCCTAAAACACTGCCCTGTTGTTCTTTTCTAAGTTTCTGCGGCTACTTCTTTAATATTCAAGTCAGATTTAATCTAAGATAGAATGGGGAATGTGTTGCTAAATCCTGCTGAGTTACAGCTATACTGTTTAGGCCATAGGCTCCCCACTCTTGACCTAAGGGAACAGCCATTCTACTAATTTGCCACAAGGGATTTCACAAAGCCAGCCCACATGCTCCCAAACATCTCTTGTTTCTCACTAAGGGTGTTTTCTGTTTTGCAACTGGAACACAGAATATTATGTTAGGTTAAATGGCCACTTCTGACTTGTTCATAAAATTCCTTTTTGGTACCTGTAGTCGTTCCTGTTCTTTCTGCAGCATCTTCCTCAAAATCTCTACTTTCTGGCTGTGAACAATGTTATTTTCCTCCTAATAAAAAAAGATGGCCAGTTCTCATTTACAAAAACATGTGCCTGAACTTAAACAGATTCTCCACAATGTACATGTCTAACAAGCTTATTAACTGCAACAACAACAACAAACATAGCTATAATATTTAATTAGATTCAACTATTACTTCAATATTCATTCCCATATGTTCCTGTTTCCCCTACCGCAAGAGAAAATCATGTACATTGATGGTTCATGGGCAGGATACATATATCCAGAGCAGTAGACCAATTGCAAATACCCTCTAGTGCTATCCTAGTTCCAGCTTCTCACACTTCATATAAATGATTCTGCTGTGATGCAATAGGCAATACAGCGATGAGTCTCAGAACGGATGTCCTAATCACAAACCAAGCAGGACAAAGAACCTTTTCCAGCCGTATAGTCTAATCAAAATCAATTAAACTCTTACCCCCATCAGCACTGGACTGGTAATTCTCTCTGTGTTTCCATGTGATCCAGGAGAGTGAGGTGATGTCATGATGGGAGACATATGCCCAAATGCAGCTGGATCTACCTCAGAATCAGCCAGTGAAATCTGGGGCGACCCAGGTGGGCGCCCTTGCACAGTGAGCGCTACATAGGAACCCGCTGCAGACACAAGATGAAATTCCATTATTTGGGAGACTAGGGACAATGAAGACTGTGTTTAATACTTCCTCCCCTCCTTTAGTCAAGTCTGCGACAGCTTCTCCTGTTTGTTTCAAAGAAAAAGAATGGGGTCCACTGAAGGAGGACCATGGCTTGACATCAAGTGCAACATACAAAGGTTTCTTCAAATATTGAGAGATGGGAGTCATTGATCTCACTCTTTGGGGAAAGGTGAATGCTCTCAGAATGAATATTATGCCCAGATTAATTTATATTTTGAGAGGAATTCCAGTTCATATATCTGGAAAATATTTTCAGAAAATAAATTCTTTATTTAGAAAATTTTTACGGGGTTCTTTAATTCTAAGAATATCCTTACAGAAAATGCAATTACCAATGAATGAGGTTTTCCGAATCTGGAGCTATATCATCAAGCTTACTTACTGTCAAGTATTAAATACTGAAAGCCAACAATTGGTGGTAACTTTCTGATTTGGGCAACTTTGGAATATACACATATAGTACCTTTGGTTGGATGTACAGTATTAGGATCTAAATACACTAGAACTCTAGTATCTCTGGAAACAATTATGTCACCCAGAAAGCTATGGAATGGAATATGTAATCAAAAAAGATATGACCCCTTTTCCCATGCTAAATTGACATTATGGGGAAACCCAACATTAAATATTGGGAAAAGATGGTGAGAGGGAAAAAATGGATGGAAGTGGGGATATTGACTTTGGACCAACTGACAGACGATGAAGATGAATTTTTAATATACACTGTGTTAAGAGATAAGTATCATCTATCAGATGTAACCCAATGGCAATTTTTACACCTACATTTTTTAACAACATTAATTGGACCAGCAGCATTTTCAGCTTCTGAGATACCTGAGATACTAGAATAACTTGTTAAATCCTTTAAAACTAAAAAACCTACTATTAGTTTTTTATAGATATTTGTTATCAATAAATCAATTTGATATGCAAATGCTAAGAAATGAGTGGAATAAAGAATTAGAGGTTCCTATATTGCCTAGACAATGGGAGCGTGTCTTAACTTCTAGAGCAAGGTGTCAATGGACCTTAAATTACGACTTATACAAGAAAAAATAATATTTAGAATTTATTGGACTCCACTATGTTTGTATAGAAGAGGATTGTCTAAGCATTTGTTGGAAATGTAATAAGGATAATGCTTGTTTAAAATACATGTTTTTACAATGTCTTACACTTACTACATTTTGGGAGAAAGTAGTAGATGATATAAATATAATCGTGCGACAAAAGCTAACATTTTCAGAGGACAACATTCTCTTGAATTACATACCTAGTACATGGAATTTGACAACTGGACAACATAAATGGATTC